CCAAACATTTAAATATATGAGCCTATGGGGCATTCTCATTCAAACCACCACAGTATTTCACAAAAACTTGTTTTGACATTTGGCCTGTGAAGTCATGTGTTTTCTTCTCTGTTTCCATCCTTTCTGTGAGTACCACGGTTAGGCAGTGCTGCCTGTGAGCAGGGCCTGGTATCAGATGGTTGGAAAATGAAGTGGAATATGGCTGCTGCTCTTGAAGGACTTAAGTGTATTCCTCTCACTCTGTGGCTTCTGTTTTGTTTTCCTCCTTTGTCATCCCTCCTGTGGGAAGAGACACTTAAAGATATTCAAACTTTAGGCATTTTATAAGTAACAGAGAAGGAAAAGTTATTGAGACTCTAGGAGGTAGGTGTAAGGAGAAAAAAGAATAAGGTCTTAGAGGCCAGGAGAGGACATTTAGTTTGATGTGAAAACTGCACAATGGCCTGAGAGACTGAGGGCTCAGGCTCACTGCACGACTCCTGGTGGCTGGAAGTCACTTAGTGTCTTAGAGAGGTTCACTTGGAGTTTGAAAGGGAAGACAAGATGGGGTTTAAAATGTTTATGGTTGTGTGCTACCCCCACTGCCCTGGGGTTGTGGCAGCCCTGCCATCTTTAGAGGGAGGGAAGTCACTTACTCTCTCAGTTTCTCATATCTTGGCTTTTGAGTTCTTAAATGGGGACAACAACACCTCACTGCCAAGTTACTGTAGCCGACAGTATAGTGCGTGGTGCGCTCAGCGCTGTCTGACATCTAAGGATGTTCCTACACAGTTGCCAGTTAATGCTGCTGCTGCTGTCACCATAGCTTTAAGAGTTGAGTTTCTTGAAAACTTTTTTGAAATTGTAAATTAATCCCATGCTTCTTTTGTCAAGGGTTGATCAAGCTGGTGTAATATGTAAGCAAGAAGGAATTTTCCGAGTTAATTGCATGGACTGCCTGGATCGCACCAACGTGGTCCAAGCTGCCATAGCTCGAGTGGTCATGGAACAGCAGGTAATCTGGAGTCCTTTTGATTCCAAATATTCACTTGAAAACTTAAAATGGTTTAAACTTTATGTGTAAGTAAATAGTGAAATATCTTCTCAAAGTTCAAATATTTTGTGAAACATTTTTTAGCATGCAAATATTCTTGTTAAATAAAAACCTGAGAAATGTAACTTAGAAGTAAGTAGATGTGGTAGCATTTTCTTAAGTATTCAACTTGCAGACATTTTAAGTCTGTTGGGGATATTATGTGTTTATTTTCCATTGTCTTCTGAATTTCAAACCTGCCCTGTATTTTGGGCTGGGAGTCTGCACAGGGCCTTAGCCAGCCCCAGGAGTATGAGATGGGGGGGAGGGGAGGGCTGGGAGGGAGTGGCGGGAACTAGAGGAGACCTCAATCAAGGATGGGAAGCCATAAAGCCCTTTGCCTGTTAGCGGATGGCTCTCTGGGACTCACTGGTCCCTTCCCCTGTCCCCAGCTCTGTGGGTGGCGGCTGTTGCTCCCCTTGGTTGGTTGTTACCTCAGTGCTCCACTTGAGGTCTTTCTGTCTTCTAACACCTGGTGACGCCCAAGGTGGGCACATATACTGTAGTTCTGGCTTGCTTCCCTGTCCCCACAGAGCCTTGTGACAATTCTTGGAGGATATACTTTTAAAGTATATTTAGTCAGAAAGGCTTTTGACTTTAAGCTCTGTCTTCACCATGTGGAAGATGTTGACTCCAAGAAACCTCCTCAAACCTGAGTCTTAACAACTTTAATACAAGGTCATTGTTGTTGTTTGTGGGCCTGTGTACCAGAGGCTTTCCACGGAGATCTCTGACCTGGCCAAGTGCGTACTGGTCGCTCTGTGCTGAGTTGGGCCCAGCTGAGCCAGTGAGAGGCTGACAAGCCAGCAAGGAGTGTGAGGAAGCTCCTGAAGGTGTTTTGGGAGAGCAGATCTCTTCCCAAGTGGCAGTGCTACAGCTCTTATGACAGAAGCTCTCAGATGACAGAGTAATTCTCGCACACCTTTATTCCTTCTGGATAGGATTCTTGGGCTGGAGAGATGGCTCAGTGGTTAAGAGCACTGACTGCACTTCCAGAGGTCCTGAGTTCAAATGCCAGCAACCACATGATGGCTCACAACCATCTGTAATGAGATCTGATGCCCTCTTCTGGTGTGTCTGAAGACAGCTACAGTGTATTCATATATAATGCATAAATAAATCTTTAAAAAAAAAAGGATTCTTATATACAGTTTTGGGATGGGTCAGGGTCTGGTAGCAAGTACCTCCTATTGGCTTGGCCTGAGAGCTTATCTACATGTGGGAGGGCCTGGGGTGCTCTTCCAATGTGACAGATGGCCACAGACCTCTCTTTGGGAGCTTTGGGGGGGCTGTAGCTATGTGAAAGGAGCCAGGGACCCAGGAGCATGGCCAAACTCCTACCGTCCCTGAGTGTCTCCGGGGTTTAAAGCCTGTGCTCAACCAGGTACCCAGCTGCCTTTCATAGCCCACCGCCCCACAGTTGTTGTTGTTGTGATGAGTAAATGAGATAATTCATTTAAAACAAAACAAAACAAGCCTCCCCCCCGCCCCACCTACCAAGAACAACCCTTGAACTCTGCCGTGGCACACGGTTATGATTCTCTGGGCACTTATTACTCACCTGCTGCGCATGTTTATTTGTTCGTGTGGTTCTGGTATTTGGTTTCACTTCTTAGGCACATTTAAAATAAGCAAAATATAGTAGTACTGGCCTACACATTAAAAAAATCACTGTAAATATTGCATTTATTCAGCTATAGTAATTGTAGCAGTATTTTCTTTATTTAATAATAATTGTTTTGAAACAGGGCTTATTATGTACCCCTGCCTGGCCTGGAACTCACAGAGATCTACCTGCCTCTGTCTTCTGAGTGATGGGACTAACTGTGTGCACCACCACATCTGGCAGTGCTTTATCTTTAAAAACATGTCTGAGCTGGCTGTGTTGGTACACTTCTGTCTTCTCAGCACTCATGAGCCTGAGTCATGAGGGTCCAGAACTCTAGGCAAGCCTTGGCTACATAGCAGGACTCTGTCTCAAAAATAAAGCCCGAGGGAACCAGTGGGATGGCTCAGTGGGTAAAGCACTTGCCACCAAGTCCGAGAACCTGAATTTGATCCTGGAACACACATGGTGGAAGGAGAGAAGTGACTTCTGAAAGTTGTTTTGTGACCTCCACATGTTCTCAACCTATAGTTAAAGAAATAAAATCTGAAAACACTTCTTTTATACAAGGGTCCTAAATTATGTCAGCTTTCCCTCCTTTTTTATAGTACATAGTTCGTGTTATGGTTTCTCATATATTATTTACCCACTAAATAATAATAAAATAATGTGTTTATTTTAGCTTAAAAAACTAGGTGTGATGCCCCCAGAGCAGCCACTACCTGTGAAATGTAATCGGACCTACCAGATAATGTGGGCTAACAACGGTGACTCCATCAGCAGGCAGTATGCTGGGACAGCCGCTCTAAAGGTAAACTATCTCTTCGTACTTGACTTCTTTCTGGAATGTCTGACTATGACAGGAGTGTGCTGTCAGATCAGGTGTAGGTAGCCTGTGTAGGCCTGAGCAGGAGTGCTCTGTCTCTGGAGAAGGCTGGTGTTCTTGAGGAGGTTCTATGTTGCTTTATCTTCTAGTTGTTGAAGGGAATCTGGAAATCTGAAGTTCTGTGTGAATTTATTTTATTTTGAGACAGTGTCTTTCCTTACTGTGGAGCCCTAGCTGTCTTAGAATTCACTATGTAGGCCCAGCTGTCCTCAAACTCAGAGATCCTCCTATTTCTGCCTCCCTGTGCACCACCATACCTGGCTGTGCATCCATTTTAAAACTGTATACAAACAAAACATGTCTACTAGGACCTGACCTATCCTGGGATTCTTTTGTCTTCTCTGAATGTGTCTCTTAAGCCTGCCTGTTACTCAGTACAACCTTGGGCAGTCACTTGTCCATTCTGTTCCACTAGTTGTTCAGTGGAAACACCAGGCCTTCTGTGACAGATTGTTATAAGCTTATAAGGGCTGGGACTATTTTCTGACATTATGTGCTGAAGGAATGCTTTATTAGTTTTTTGTTATTATAAATTAAGTTTTTTGAAGAGCCACAAAGCTTCATAGAAATGTAAATACAGTCCCTGGTAACAAATTCTCAATTTATGGGTACTTTTTATGGGCAGTAGGAAGTGGTTGAGTCAGTTTAAATTAAGTTTACGTTGATTTCCTTTCAAGAGCCTATTTGACCTGGGGCTATATCTCTTCTAACAAAGTGTAGCTTGGTTGGTGGAGCACTTGCCTGGCATGTGTGAGGCCTGGAACGCATTCCCAGCAAAAACCAAAAGTGGGACCAAGGGCTCAACAGACATCAGCTCTAGGTTTTGGTTGAGTAATAAATATAAAAAAACTTGTTTTGTTTTTACAACAGGGCCTCTGTGTAGGCCATATTGGCATTGTACACCCTCAGCTAGAATTACCAGTGTGAGCCATCTTGGAGTATGTCTGTGTGTCTCTGTGAGTTTATGTGAATCACATATATTTAGGTACCTGAGGAAGCCAAGGGATGCTGGATCCCCTGGGACTGGAGGTACAGGCATGTGTGAGCCGTGGGATGTGGGTGCTGGGAACTGAACTCAGGCCCTCGGCAAGAGCAGCCAGTCCTCTTAATTACTGAGCCATATTCTCAGACCTACAAAATTTTTCTTTTGTTTTTTTTTGAGACAGGGTATCTCTGTGTAGCCCTGTCAGCCCTGGAACTCACAGTAGACCAGGCTGGCCTCAAACTCAGAGAGATCAGCCTGACTCTGTCTCCTGAATGCTGGAATTAAAGGTGTGTGCTACCACCACCTGGCTCAAAAAACATTTTTTTTAATAATTAAGGAAAATAAGCTCCATAAATCCTTATCCAAACACAATCTTATTTTCTTCCTCTGAGTTAGAGCTCTCTGGAGTCCACATGCATGCTTTTCTATCTGTACATATTGCTGAACTCCTTGAAAATGGCCAGCTTGTTGGCAATATGGTTTTCCTAAATTTCCTACATTTAATTTCCAACAAACCTGTGTCCTAAAACTTGCTGTGAAAAAACACCGTGATCAAAGGCAATTCTTATAAAAGGAAGTATTTATCGGGGGCCGGCTGATAGTTTCAGAGGTGGTTAGTCTGTTATCATCATGATGGTGGGGACCATTTGAAAGCTGGCTATGGTGGTACATGCCTGTAGTCCTAGCTCTTGGGACGTGGAGGCAGGAAGATTGAGAGTTGAAGGTCATTCTTGGCTACAGAGTAAGGCCAGTCTAGGTTACATGTGAACTGTCTCAAATCTTTTCCTATCCCTGCATTTTTTTTTGTTTTGAATATTATACCAATATGAGCTCTGAAAAATCTTTTTTATCTTTTTGGTGTTTGTTATATAATTGATTTGGACTTAGAAATTCCAGAAATTCTACAAGTTAGTAGGAATAGCTTTGTCCTAAAGGGCCATCTAACAGAAGGCTTGATGCTATGAATAAATATTACATATAATTATTTGACAAGCTTAGATCAGAGTCAAATACTAGTACATGTTTTATTTAACTACAATACTTAGGACTTTTTAAATTTATAATTTGGAAGCCTGTGGAATTCTTGTCTCGAACTGAAAGTTCCAAATGAATTTTGAGAACACTCTTACATTTGAATAAATTTCCACAATTACCTTTTCTTTGATAGGGTGACTTTACAAGAACAGGAGAAAGGAAGTTGGCAGGAGTTATGAAAGATGGAGTTAACTCGGCAAATAGGTACTACCTCAGTCGGTTCAAGGATGCTTATAGGCAAGCTGTCATAGGTAAGGAACAGGAGGCTGCTCTTTCCTTCTGTGAGTGAGTGATATTTTGTAGAATTCTGCTTCTTGCATGTGTCATGTTTTGTAATGTACTTGTGTCTCTAATATATCAAATTCAAATTTTCACAAGCTTGGCATTTGACAAATGTTTTTGGCTGGAACAACAAAGGAATGTATAATTACGTACGTGTCAGTCAGTAGTTCCTCCAGTAATGGGAAGCAGGGTGAGGCTGCAGGCGTGTGGGTTGCGGGACCCACACTCTCAGCATGCAGTCTTCATGCTCGTGGGTCCTCTGCTTGCTCAAGCCATGGAATTATAGGAGTTTCTTTCCCTGCTGCTCATTTATCATACAAATACACCATCCTTTTCCATAATCATGATTTAGCAGGAATTACTGATTATCCTAACCAACTCACTACTGTTTAGAAGAAGAAGCAGAATGGTAGAATGCCCATAAAATTCCTACATTAACATGTTTATTTAATTTTCAAGAAAAAATTATTTTATAGGATTAAAGTGAAAGTAGAATGTTCTGGATTAGAAACAGATATGACATAGATGATCTGTGGTCCCTAAGAATCAATACACACACACACACACACACACACACACATATATAATTTTTTTTTTCGAGACAAGGTTTCTCTGTGTAGCCTTGGCTGTCCTGGAACTCACTCTGTAGACCAGGCTAGCCTCGAACTCTTGAACTCAGAAATCTGCCTGCCTCTGCCTCTCAAGTGCTGTGATTAAAGGCATGCACCACCAACACCCGGCTAAGAATATTTTTTAAAATCTGTTTCTTTCACCTGATTATTTTAGCACATGTAAAATAACCTTAGCTACACTCTAGGTAGAAAATCTAAAGTAAGGAAGTAGATTCATAACTGGATTGTAATTCAGTTTTGGAGTACTTACCTAGCAAATGTGAGACCCTGGGTTTAATCTCCATAAATAAAACAGAAGGTTTGATTCATTTGTCAGAAATAAGAAGTACATAGTGTAACTAGAGTCTTAGATGTTTTAAAACAGGATCTCAGCCGGACGGTGGTGGCGCACGCCTTTAATCCCAGCACTTGGGAGGCAGAGGCAGAGGCAGAGGCAGGCAGATTTCTGAGTTCGAGGCCAGCCTGGTTTACAGAGTGAGTTCCAGGACAGCCAGGGCTACACAGAGAAACCCTGTCTTGAAAAATCAAATCAAATCAAAACAAAACAAAACAAAAAAACAGGATCTCAACCCTATATTGCTGGCTGACCTTGGAACTGGCTACATAGAGCAGGCTGATCTCAAACTCAGAGATCTACCTGTCTGTCTCTTGAGTTCCAGACCTAAGGTGTGAACCACATCTGTCTGAGACTTAGATTTTAGTAATATATTCAAAGGGGAAAAAAGACGTCTTGCTTCCGTTGGCTAATGTACCTAGTTACTTACGTCACTGAGAAAGAACCTGGATTCTGTGCCTGTCACAGTTCAGCTGTCTATTCATCCTGGTCTGCTCAGATGTTCGCTCTCCTCAAGATTGAGGGAGAGGCCAAAAGCAGTAGAAGAAGCTCATTGAGTCTGTGGGGCCAGTGGTCAGCAGATTTTCTTTTCCATAAGCTGCCTCAGATCTCAACGTCCAAAATGTCCATAAGGAATGGACTCTAATGGTTTATTACAGCTTTAGGTGCATACCCCATAGGGAGGAAGTTAGCTCATCTATTAAGATTTTTGCTTGTTTAAAAATTGGATATACTTTGTATTGCCGAGCTATTAGGAGTTCTTTGTATATTAAGTGTGCAACTCCCCCACAAGATGAACAGTTGTAAATATTCTCATATGTTTTCACTTTCTTGATAATGCAGTTTGAAATGGAATTTGTGAAAAACTCAAATTTCATTAAAAAATCACATACACAAAATAACATCAGATTCATTTTAAGATCTTTTCCATTGAGCTTTTCCCTAGTTTCCCTTGAATCTACACTAACTAAAGATGCACTCTGCCGGGCAGTGGTGGTGCACGCCTTTAATCCCAGTACTTGGACGGCAGGCAGATTTCTGAGTTTGAGGCCAGTCTGGTCTACCGAGTGAGTTCCAGGACAGCCAGGGCTACACAGAGAAACCCTGTCTCGAAAAACCAAAAAAAAAAAAAAAAAGTACTCTAAGCAGGCAGGAGCCAGCCCCTCATTAGCAGGTGGACAGTATCTCCCACTGATGATTGGGTGATGTACATGACTTCATCAGTTGAGCTGGCTTCTCATGAGACCCAGAAGGCCAGTCCCTTCATTATCAGGTCTGTGCTGACTGTTGGTCTCACCTGTAGCCTCATGAGCAGTACTGTCCTCTGCAGGGTGTGTGAGCAGAGGGTAGGCTGCTGTCAGTGAAAGCTTTATATTCCTTAGTCCCATGTGCTCTCTATGTGTTAGCTGTTCCAACTGAACTATGTCCTGGGGGATTATGTTTGCTGTTACCCAGAGTACTATCTTTTTATTAGGCACAAGCTGTGACCAATCAGAACACATCACCCAAGTATACAGTATAAAGTTCATGTCCGAGATGAGGTCCATCTTGAAATATTTGTCCTCACATGCAGGGGCTGGAGAGAAATAAATAAGGCAGAGCCTGTGAGAAAAGTACACAGTGCTGCACATGGTACAGAGTAGGAAGTGGCTGATACCATGGCTAATAGTCACCAAACTCCAGGGATGGCACATAGGAAGCCAGGGAAAGCCAAGTCTCCTCACCCATGAAATGGTTTTAGAAGCACAAAAGTTTGTAATTTTGATGACATCTGGTTTGTTTTTTCTTTTGTTAGTTATATTTTTGGTATCCAGTCTAAAAACTGGAGCGTGCTTTAAGGGGGAAAAGATTTAAGCCTCTACTTTCTAAGATGAGTTCTGTTGTTTTAGGTCTCAGAATCTCTTGTTTTCTAGAAGATACATTAGTAAAGCTAAGATGATGACAGTGTTAACACTTTCTACCCTAGATTTGATGCAAGGCATTCCAGTGACAGAAGATCTTTATTCCATATTTACCAAGGAGAAGGAGCACGAAGCTTTGCATAAGGAGACCCAGAGGAGCCACCAGGAGCTCATCAGCCAGCTCTTACAGAGTTACATGCAGCTGCTGCTGCCCGGAGATGAGAAGTTCCACGGGGGCTGGGCTCTGATTGACTGTGACCCCAGGTGAGCTGGAGCGGTCTAGGACTCAACCTGCCTCATCTTCTGGGTTGATAAGTTGTCACCATTAACACTGGCTCTTGTCATAATGTGTGGACCTGACTGCATCAAGCATGGCAGTTTCAGTGCAAGGCACACTCTCATTCAGTATGTAGTTAAGGGGTGCTGAAAAAACATGGCAGCCATGAGAAGAAACACTTAAATATGATACTTGATTTTTTAAAAATTCATACCTGGAATAGTAATTCACAGTTATAATCCCAGTACTTTAGAGGCTGAGGCAGGAAGACTCCCAAAGCCCAGCTTTGGGTGGCTTCTTAAAGATCCATACTAGGCTTCTGTTGTTTCACATTCATTTTCCTGAACTAGTCACCAGACATAAATATACATCTTCTTGTCCCTTAGGTCGTCTTCAGGAACAGGCCTTGGGTTAGGTGTCCTGACTAGTCTCCAGTTCATTATTAGCTTCACTTCTCTTCCTGATAATAATGGTGTGTCTTCTAATTCTTCCTTGGATGGTCAGTCACCAAAAATGGTTATGGGACTGTGCGTTTGCTGTTTCACTGGCCAGAGCTCCTGCTGTTCCTCCCTCTTTCCTCTAGGACATTAGTGTAAGCCAGACTGGGTGTGTTTGTCAGCTTTTTAGTGCTGAGTCTGCCTCGGGTCGATAGAGGCACATCTGGAGCTCCCTTGCTACCCAGCACAAAGGGGCTGTGTGAGGGAATGATTGTTGCTGTTCCAGTAGTGACTGTGGCACAGAGGATCAGAGCTGCTGCAGACTCTTGGAACAGATATCTGGTCTGCTCCTCTGTGACACCCAGGACTGTAGGACTGACACTCTCCGGAGACTCAGGCCCCTGAAGGTTCTCTGCTAGGTTGACCAGGTTAGACAGGCTGCATTGCAGAAGTGGTTGAAGTGTTTGGCCATTTTCCAGCTACCCCCCACCCCCCAATCTGTTACTGTTGTTAGAAACTGCTTTCTTTGAGGCTTTGGGATGCAGGGGCTGATGGGGAAGAAAGTGAACTAATACTTTAGAGCCAGTAGTTTCTTGATCACATTTTGGCTCAAGTAGGTTGAGTGCTTGGTTTTTGTTTGTTTGTTTGTTTTTTGAGATAGTATTTTATGTATCCCAGACTGGCGTCAAAGTCACTTTTTAGTAGAGACTGGCTTTCTGCCCCCCTCCTGCCTCCTGTTTTCCAGGTGCTAGGATTACAGGCACACACAAGCAAGCCCATGGTTTAAAGCTTCCTGAACTTTAGACAGGCAGACGCACTGCTGCCACCTGAGCTGTATAAAGCCCATCCCTCTGTGTTTTATCCTCTAGTTTTATAGGAGGCGTAAGAACTTTTTTGAAGGCTTAGGAGGTTTTAGGTTTGCTATGGGCTTAGGAGGGCGTCCCAGCATGGTTCCCAGTGCTCTCTTCTGCCTGTTCTGAGGTGACACTTTCTCAGAGAGTGGATCATTAACACCTTCACATCTCATTCTGGAGGGTCATTCCCCGTGGAGATGCCAATCTGAGGGTTTAGTTGCCGCCATCTTATTAAACAAGCTTTTCGATATCTCTTAGTAATTCTTGTCATCTGCCTTTGATGTCATCCCTTGATGCTGCAGTCTCATTAAATGTGACACTGGTGTTTTTCTTTCATCTCTAAGGGTGTTTGTGCGTGTGTGTGCATGCATGTGTGCATGCATGTGTGCGTGTGTGTGTGTGTGTGTTTTCCCCTTTTCTCCATGAGAAACATACTCTGGACGTTTGAGTTTTCTATAGAATCATTGTATGCTTGCTAACTGAATGCAGAACCAGATCCAGAACTGCTGGGTACCTGGTGGAGGACAATGTAGCTGTGGGAGTGGCTGCACGGCATTGACTTGGAGGCTTCAGCAGTCACCATGTGCTTGCCTCAACTATTCATTCCTTGATGGATTTCTAAAATTAAAATACAAAAATTTTGATGGGGATGGGTTGACACAGGGTTTCTCTGTGTACCTGTAGCTGTTCTAGAATTCAATCTGTAGACCAGGCTGGCCTTGAATTTACAGAAACCCAACTGCCTCTGCCTCCCAAGTGCTGCAATTAAAGGCATTTGACACCATCACCCTGACTTATAAAATATTATTGTGTATGTGTGTCTTTGTGCAAATACGTAAGCCATAGTGTGCATATAATTGGAGGGCTACTTTGGGAGCCAGTTCTTCAACCACAGGAACCCAAGCATTGGGTTTAGATTGTCAGGATTAGTAGAAGGTGCCTGTACCCCGTCTCAGCAGCTGACTTCTCCCTTGACACAATGTTTTTTAACCTGGAGTTTGTAATTTTGGTAGACTGGTTGACCACCTAGAGTCTTTCTCCCATCTTCCCCAGCTGCCCCACCTAAAGTGCTAGGGTTACAGGCACGTGGGTGCTGAGACATGAATTAAGGTCCTTATATTTGTTCAACAAGAATTTTATGAAGCTATCTCCCCAGTCCTAAAATAATTTTATTGATATGTAATTTATAAAGCTTATAGTTCACCTATTTGAAGTGTATAGTTTGGTAGTCCTCCCCCAACCTCAAGACAGGGTTTCTCTGTGTAGCCCTGGCTGTCCTAAAACTCACTCTATAGAACAGAATTTGGACTCACAGAGATCCACCTGCCTCTGCTTCTCCAGTGCTGGGATTAAAGGTGTGTGTCTCCATCACCCAATTTAGTTCGGTAGCTTTTGTTTTTAAAAAATGTATTTAGGCCAGAAGTGCTGGGATAATCTTTAATCTCAGCATTGAGATGCAGAGGCAGGCAGGTCAAAGTGATTTTGAGATCAGTCTGATTTTTCTAGGGAATTTGTTACTCAGTGACACCACCAACAATGCATTTCTCCTCCTCCTCCTCCTCCTCCTCCTCTTCTTCCTCCTCTTCCTTCCTCCTCCTTATTGGTGTGTGTGTGTGTGCACGTGTGCATGTGTATATGTGTCCGTCCATACACAACTGTGCCTGTTTCAGAGGTCTTCAGACTTGCATGGCAAGTGCCATTTCTGGTGGTACTAACGCCAGTGCTTTTGTCTTTTTGTCCTTGAGCCATAATTGGTTTTTTTCAAGACCAGGGCTAAGACTAGGGACTGGGGAGTAAGGCAGGACTGTGCAAATGCAGAAGTGGGTGTCTTTACATAAACATTTGATGTTTTATTCTCCGTGCTATTGTGGTATTTGTATTTTTTTTTAAATATTTATTTATTTATTTTATTGATGAGTACACTGTAGCTGTCTTCAGACACACCAGAAGAGGGCATCCAATCTCATTACGGATGGTTGTGAGCCACCATGTGGTTGCTGGGATTTGAACTCAGGACCTCTGTAAGAGCAGTCAGTGCTCTTAACCACTAAGCCATCTCTCCAGCCCGGTATTTGTATTTTTAAAGTACTGCAGTAATGCATTATCCTAAGGACTGTTACGGCAGTGCAGCAGATTTTGCTGAATTCTGCAAAATCGGTAAGGTAAGAAACTGTCTTGAAAGCAGTTTACCGGAGCAGCCTTACGTAGTGGAGACCAGAAGCAGCAGTGAGAACTGTCCAGAGCGGCACGGTGCCGCGGCAGGTACGCAGTGCGGCAACACAGCGCTCAGCCGACTTCACAGTTCATTCCGGCAGATACGGGAGGGAAGCAGCCCTCCTCAACTGCGTATCCTTCCCACCTGTGCTCTTGGCCACTTCAGTTGCCACAGACCAGCTGGACTTTAGCTCCTGGAAAGCAGCTTAGGTTCGAAGGGAGCCAGAAGAGCTGGGGACAGGATCCAGAGCACCTGCAGAAACGTCAGTTCTGCCCTGTTCATCTCTCCACAGCAGGGTGTTACAACTAGCAGGAGTGCGGCAAAAACAGCAGCTTGGCAATCCTGTGCCCATCAAGCTGCGGGAAAGGCGCAAGCCAGAAGCCCTCCTATCCACAGCTCCACCAGCTGGGGTCTTTATTCTTCGAGGGCTTGGGACGCGTAGGATACAATGAGCATGCGCGATGGCAGCCTGCCGCAGCGGAAGTGAGTCCGCAGTGCCAGTCTCTGCAGGCGCGAGGTGCGGTACTGACCAAGGATGCCACGCTCCCATCGACAGCCTACCCCCCCCATCCCCCACCCCACCAGCTGCGCATCAGCTGCCAATGCTGTGGAAGCTAAGTCTGATGGCCTCCTTTTTGCAGGACTTATGGTTAAAGTATTTTTCCTGTAAATTACTTCTTTTCCAAAGCCTGATGTTAATGTCTCCGGAAGATAGCCTTTTTATGCGACAGTTGTCTCTGTGGTTGGGCTGCATGTGGTTTTAGCAACTTTTGTTTTTATAGTATAGAAGGAAGGTTTGCCACAGTGGCGGGAAAACAAAAATGATTAGGGTAGCTGCAAGGAGCTGCAGTGCAGGGGCTGGAGGAGTTATACATAAGGGTTTTTTGTTTTCCTTGTTCGTATCAAATGTGCTTTTTCTTTTTTAAAAGGGTAAGGGGGTGGGTATATGGGCCGGGAGGGGATTATTTACTGCACTTAAGACTGCAGTGGAAATGGGGCGGGAGGGGGACTAGGGCTGACAACATCCGACTGCTTGTTTCGTGCCAGATGCTTTTAAATAAGGACGCAATGTTTTTGACTGATGTAAATACTAACTCTAGAATTGGCAGCCAGGATGGAAGTAACACTGTAAATTAGATTTTTTTGTGTATGTAAAAATTGTGTTGTGATGTAGTTTTTGTGGCGTGGCTTGGCTCAAGCAGCAGTTTTCAGAGTGCAGCAAGTATGCGTAAAGCTCGATTTCGTTTTTCATGTCATTCTATGCCATTTTCTGCTATGCCGCCAGGATCTCCGAATTCATGGTCTTCTCTTACGCAGATACTGGCTGCCAGAATCAGTCTGTGTTTTATTAGGTGCTTCCTTCCGTTCATTCACTGAGGTCTAGAGTGTAGGTGAAATCATTTCAGATTAAAACTGTTGAATTTGGGTTGCAACAAGGTGGTGCTGATGCAGAAAACCGAAGTAAAGGTTTTGGTAAAACCTCTCGGCAGTGCCGTCTAACAGTGACCTCATTCCCAGGCACATTCATCCGTTCTTCAAGTTCCACCTATAATTGATCTTTCCTATCTGGGTCTCTTATTTGTTTGTTTTTGCTACTATTTTTATAATAGTAAGAGCCAGCAGATGGGTTTGAGATCCTGTGGCATGAAAATCTTATGGTGGAATCCAAAGATCAACAATCAGAATTTAGGGTTTATCAACTTGGCTGGAAAGGCTACCCAGGCCAGAGTAGAAATTAGGTTAAAATTGTCATCTGAGTCTGGGTTGATTATTGTATTTTTTATCTGCTTGTTGATTATTTGTATCTTTTAATCCTTGGCCATGTCTTTATCAGAAGCATCTCAAGATGTACATTTTACTATAGTCTTGGTTTAAAATGGTTTAACAATTCACCTGAATTCTATTCTGTTTTGGTGGTGGTGGTGGTGGTGGTGTGTGTGTGTGTGTGTGTGTGTGTGTGTGACAGAGAGGGGGAGCATAGTGGGTGGGTGGTGGGGTAATGCGACAATGGCCATAAGGCAGTGCTTACTCATTCCTTGAAAGCCAAGTGAAATCTATAGTGAGGAAAATGGAGCGTGGCTTGCCTTCATGTTCACAACAGTTTCGTTTATCTAAGACTGTTTCAGAATAGCTGTTTTCTAGGAGTGCAGAATCATGCTCAGCGTCTAGTATGCTATGTTGAATCCTGGCAAATGCGAGTTAACATATGATCTCCCCTTGGGTGTCACGTTTCTTTCTTCATCCCAGGAGCCCTACCTCTGTCAACATCTTTTACATTATCCCTTTTCCTTTGAGAACTGCTCCCCCTTCTGGTCATGTCTGGAACAGACCCCCCTTCCCCTCTGGCTCTTCATTACCTAAGTCTGCTCCCTCCTGATGGCGGGAGTAGGGAGAGATGTTTAAGGGTCCCCCCACCCCCAATGGATATAGATTGTTTTTGTATTAAATTTAACTTCAGAAGTACAATCATTTCATTTTCATTTGTTCCTCTGGGCAATCTTGTAAGTAGAAATATGCTTGTAAAAAATGTGAATAAAAATAATTTATCAGGTATCATATCTGCACAGCCTCACTGATGCTGCTCACAGAGACGTGGACGTGCTGCTGCTGCTTTCTAACGCTGCCTATTATGTGGCCTAGTAAGTTGCCATTGATTTAAAGCTTTTAGCTTGTTTGGGAAAACATTTGCTTTTGAGAATTATTAACATTTTTTTGTCTTCATGTGTATATGAGATTTCATTGAGCCCTTTAAATAATCTTTCAAAATTTGAGTTATTTATTACTGTTTTAGCTTAGTATTACTTGGAATTCATCAGAATCTGGGCATTACACATACTTTTTCCTTTTACTCATGGAGGCCATGTGTCATGGCTTGTCTTACTGTATTTTCCCCATTGTTCGACATTGAATTCCCTGCAGCTTTTGCCATTGAATGATTCAGCTCTGCAGATGCACAGCTTGTGTGCGCGCATGTGCGCACACACACACACACACACACACACACACACACACACACACACGTCAGTGTTGCCATGGTTACAAGCATATGATTATGCGACTTTCAGTGTCTCCTTGGTTACAAGCATATGATCAATTATGTGACTTTGGTGGTTTATTAGCGCCATCTCCAAAAAGGCAATTATCTGTGCCACTACCAAAGCTGAAGTGCTTGCTTGTTCCATGAGCTATCCAAGATGCAGATTTAATGTATTTTCTGAGTAAACTATCCCCTTTACTTTCAGCTTGGTTTAAGCTGCCATTTTCCTGTCATTCCACATGCCTTTGACACAGTCATGACAGTTTTATTCCTTGATTTGGGGTCTCAGACCCATGTGCTGTATGTTTCTTAGCTAAAGTGTTTCAGTGTATATTGTTTTCATTTTAATTAGGTTTGTTTTCATTTTATGTTTATAAAACTGAAATTATTTTTGCCTTGTAATTGATTTCCTTTTGTATGTAAAATTTTCCATTAGTTGTTAAATTATGTTACTATCTCCTCCCACCCTCCTACTCTGGAGACAGGATCTCTCTATTATGTAGCCTTGGCTGGCCTGGAACTCTTTATGTAGACCAGGCCGGTCTGGAACTTACAGGGATCCACATGCCTCCGCCTCCTGAGTGGTGGGCTGTCCCTCTTATTTTATATATACTTTTTATGTTTCACTTCATTCTGGAATGCATGCTGGAAAGATTTTAAGTGCACGTGGTATCTTGTAACATGACACCTCAGCTTTGAGCCAAAACACTTGCTTTTAACCTTCATTGTACTTCCCTTTCCCTAGTTATGATGATGAAGTTGATAAAGTAAACCAGTATCAACGGCTGAGCCTGGAAGACCTGGAAAAAATAGAAATAGGTAAATGCTAGCACATTAACTAACCACAGAAGAGGATGCCCCAAGCCATCTGGGATGGCAGACTTCTCTTCTCTTCTTTAGAGACTAAAAATGGGTATGGTTGCTTTCATCTTGTGCCTCTTGAGGAGAACTCCAGTAATCAAAAAGTTTAAACAATTACAACTGAAGAGATGTTCTTATGGCTTCATAAAATCATGTTTCATGATAAAACAGAGGGCACAACACAGGGATGCCCTGTTATAGTTAGGATACACACATGCATGAAATGTTATAATGAAACCTAAGATTAACACACTATGAAAACATTTTTATAAATGGCCATAAGTTTATACCTTGTTTAAATTATGAATAGAAATATGCTCTCAGTTAAGTGGTATTATATGTGTAGTGAAGTAAAGAATGTTACATGAAAAACAACTTTAAACACACTCATTTGTATTAGGTCCTGAACCTACTCTTTTCGGCAAACCAAAGTTCTCCTGCATGCGGCTGCACTACAGGTGTAAAGAAACAAGTGGTTACTTCCATACACTGAGAGCTGTACCACGCAGTCCTGAAGAAGACGGGAAAGGTGAGGAAGAGCAAATAGTGAAATTTTCAGAGATATCTAGTGACAGGTTTTTGTTTATTACAAGTCCATTGCATGGGATACTGTAGAACAACTGATTTCTAGAAAGATGGCTCAGGAGTAGCTGGGATTCGAGATCTCTCCTCCTATTTGAATGGGTGTATAGTGCCGGCAACCGGCTGGGAAGTGTTTGTCATCCACTTCCAGAGGCAGCAGTTACTACTACTTTTTCCTGGGTGTTGCTCTGACACCTAGCACAGTGCTTGGATCCCTGTGAATTCTTAGATGTTTACTTGCTGTTCATTAGATTTTTGCTCTTGACTTGTCTGTTAAAAAATCATCATCTAATGTGCTCTGCAAAGAGTCCAAAGATGGCGGCGGCGGTGGCAGCTGGCAGTCTGCCCTTCCGCAGTGGGCTTGTCTTGCTGCAGACCACTTTGGGGTGGGTAGGAACCAAAGCTCTGTTGCAGATTTTATCCTAGAAGTGAATTCTACTCAAAGGTTGAAGGAACAGATATAACAGGGATTTAAGAAATAGTTATTTCAAAGAAGAAAACATGGGATAACGTGGCCGTTCTTCAGGTGTTTGCATCCACAGCAAACAGGGTCCTTCTGTGTTTCCAGATAGCCCTTCCCTCTCACACCAGCCTCTGCTGTGGAGTCTCGCTTGTTTCTACTGGCAAAGAAGTCTGGAGAGACCGCAGCAAAGTTCATTATTAATTCACATCCCAAATATTTCCAAAGGGATACAGCTGAGCCTCCTATTCCGTGCTTAATGCCGAGTGCTTTGAACCTTAGATTGAAGATGTAAGCGAAGCTGCCCTGAAGGAACCAATCAGACTCAAAAAAGCCAAAGCTTCTGTGGACATTTTGACCAGCTCTTGCAAGCAGGGCTTCAGTCAGAGCCCTCTTGGAGCATGGGGCCTTTTATATGTATGGTCCAGAGTTAGCTTTGAGTAAAAAATAGCAAATAATGGTTATTCTGCTTGATGGCATTGTTTGTGATTTAAGTGGTATAATATACACAATTCATTTTTGCTCTAGCTTCATCCTGAAATTATAAGTGAGGTAGCACTGCAGGTTTATCCTCTTATTTGCTTTTGTCTCGTGCATTGGCAAAGGAAGTACATGGCCTTTGTTTTTAGCACTAGGTGTGAGAAGGCAGAGCCAAATAAAACAGAAATACTTTATCTTAAAAAAAATCATTCTCTAGAACATGTGGAGGACAGTGAGCAAGGAACAGTTTTCTGTAAGTTGTAGGAATAAACTAGTATTTAAATCTGTGGCCACAAATTAACTTCAGGCTGTATGTTTTGAAGAGTCATCACCCCAGTTCCCTGGACTTGGGATTCTAGTTATCTTTCGGAGGAATTTTGAAATGGTCATAACAGGGAGGAAATAGCTAATATTGATTCTACAGCCATAATCTCTTTTGGTAGAAATCTTTACAATAGTTACTAAGTTAAAGTCATAATTTCTTATTTTGGTACAGAATTTATCTTGATACAGAATCAAGGTTTTCATTGGTATACATTTCTTCTATTGATACAAAAAATTTAAAAGTACAAGGCTTGGACCCAGTCCTTGTTTAATTGCCATTACAAACTGATCTGAGATGTTTAAGCCTGTGAGCAAATTCATGGCTCTGAGTTTATTGTTAGAGTGTTTTCAGATATTTTAATTATAAATAGCTAAGGGTAGTTAATGACAATAGTTGTTTTTCAAAAATGTCAGAAATCCACAAAAGATGACATTTAAGGTTATTTATTCATTTATTGTTGAGACAAATCTGCTCCTAACAGCTTCCCATTCGTGGATTCAAAGAAGCAGCTGAGCATCTTACCTCCAGGTGGGGTTGTTCATTGTGGCTAGGTGGCCACTGGGCAGAAATTGCCTCTCTCTCCTGCAGACCTGTATTGTGCCTCAGTAGACACAAGTTACAGGTTAGGACAGCTTAGTTCTGCCGAGAAAGAATAAGCTAGTCCTAAATAATTCCTGTTTTTCAAAGGTCTGTCAGATTATCCTGGGCTAGAAGGCTGAAGACTGATGCTCCAACTTCCTGCCTTACTGGGGCTGTATCTGTAGGCAGCTGTCTCTACAGTTTGTCTCAGGTCTGGAAGCTGTGTTAGGCTTCCTGTATTTTCAGATAATATTGGTCATTCTTGGATTTCTGATGAGGTTGAAAGACTACTTATAATCTCATAGCCAACCCAAGCTATTTACATTGAGAAAATATATTTGAGAAGATAGTTTTCAGATAGTATACAAGCTAAACCAGGACATAACATATTAAGTCTTTTAAGTTAGGATAGATGACAGAGTGTTCTATTTAATTGGCAAAAATGATGGACTGGGTATTATGTCTATCTTGTACTTTATAAATTACAAAATGGTAATAGTTGTGCTCGATTTATATCTGAGATAAGAGTCTTTTAACTAGACAGAAAGGGGGAAATGTGGATTGCTGTCTATATGCAGGTGAGGGCAGGCACAAGATAAGGTGAGAGCTTGTGATTGGGCAGTGGAAAAGGAAGGCGGGCTGAGTACAGAGAGGAGGAAGGAGAAGAGATAAGATGGAAGCTATAAGAGAGGAGGAGGAGGAGCCAGAACCACACAGTCCCGGGAGTCTGAAGTATTGGGATTTTGTAGACAGATGATTAAATGATAGTAGCGTGCATTTTCCCCATCTAGGGATATAGCTTGTGTTTATATCAATTGAGTTTTGAGTTTATTGTGCAGGTGTTTTGTGGGTTGAGAATTTACTAAGATAAATCTGACTGATAAATCACAAGGCTCTAGAGTTTTGATTTTACCAGGTTACACTCTGTAACAAGAGAACAGGGGCTAGCCATGGAGGCAGCAAGACCACCGGTGCCAGAGAGTAGCCAGCACTAGCATGAGATGGTGCATTTTTATATTTCCCACTACATGGGGCAACTGGTAAGAGCTGTGTTTGGATTTCAGACACTCTTCAGTGCATTGCAGAGATGCTGCAGATCACCAAGCAAGCCATGGGTCTGGATGTTCCCATAATCGAAAAGAAACTTGAGAGGTCAGTATCAAGAGTGAATATAGTGTTCTGCATGCTTTAGCCTTGCACTTCTCAGAATGGCTGCCTCATGCCACCTTGAGGCTCTGGCCTTTGAAATGTGGCCAGTCCCAGTTGACCACTGTGCAGACCTGGTGCAAAAAAAAAAAAAAGATACAAATCTTTTTATGTATCTGTAGAGGTGTAGTATTTTGTATGTAAGTAAAACTTTTTAATTCCACCTTTTTTTTTTTTTTTTGGTAGCTGCTAGAAATTTTCAGTTATATTCCTAACTGAAAACACTATCCACCACCCAACACCTTTTGGATGGTGGGGTTTTAGAATCCAGTTATTTGGATTTATCAGTTAGCAGTACCCCGTTTCCAGTATTTTGGATTCCATAAGGAATTAACTTTTTTTTCTTTTTCAACTTACAGGAAAAGCAGTAAGCCTCATGAAGACATCATTGGTATCAGATCTCAAAACCAAGGCTCTCTGGCCCAGGGGAAAAGCTTTTTAATGAGCAAATTTTCATCTCTAAATCAAAAAGTAAAGCAGACCAAATCCAATGTGAACATTGGCAACCTACGAAAATTAGGAAACTTTGCAAAGCCTGAAATGAAAGTTAACTTTCTAAAACCAAACTTAAAAGTCAATCTTTGGAAGTCAGATAGTAGTCTTGAGACCATGGAAAACCCAGGAGTGATGGATAATAAGGTCCAGGGAGAGTCTGATGGGGACATTTCTTCAGATAATGACTCGTACCACTCTGATGAATTCCTTACAAACTCTAAGTCAGAGGAAGATAAGCAGCTAGCCAATTCTTTAGAGAGTGTAGGGCCAGTAGATTACATTCTCCCGAGCTGTGGAATTATTGCTTCAGCACCTCGATTAGGCAGTCGATCCCAGTCTGCCAGCAGCACTGATATCAGCATTCATGCTTCCTCAGAAGCTACTGTTGGTCATGGAAGTGAGCTTGGAAAAGGCCCAGAGTCTCCCTTGAAGAAAAGCCCTTCTGCTGACAACATACGCATATTGACTGGTTTTGCAAAGCCTATGGATGTTTACTGCCAGAGATTTGTGCAGGATGCACAGAACAAAATGAATGAGCTGTCAGAGATCAGGTCTGTATCTCAGAATAGTGAGGAAGGAAATCACAAGCCTACCTGTGTTTCTAATGAAGAGACCCAATCTGAATCAGTTGAACAGATGCCTTCTCGGCCCTCTCAGTTAAATGTCTCTTGCTCTGTGACAGGCCCACAGTTCTTGTCAGTTGAACATTCAGTCCATCCAGTGGTATCTCAGAAGACCCCAAGCTCCGGGTCCAGCCTTGTGGAGCTTGAGGCAGGGCTTTGTGTAACGCCTTCTTCAGAGAGCAGCAGCAGCAGAGCAGTCTCTCCCTTTGCAAAGATCCGCAGCTCCATGGTCCAAGTTGCTAATATTACCCAAGCTGGGCTAACTCATGGGATAAACTTGGCAGTTGCTAAAGTTCAGAAGAGTCCAGCAGAACCCGAAGTGGTTAACGAAATTCAACAAAATGAACTTAAAAATATGTTTACACAATGCCAGACACGAATAATTCAGATTTAGATTTTAGTCACAATCCTTTGGCTTTTATTTAAAAATTCAAAATGAAGTTTTCACCTATCAGGCTACTTTAACCTGTACTGAGTTTAGGGATTTCAAATTCTAATTATGTTTATTGGCAATTGTTTTACAAGGAGTCTGAACTTTAACACATTTCCAGATATGTAAGCCAAGACTACAAGCAATCATCCTGGATTATGGACCAGAATAACAAACACACTAGAGTGGTTTGTGCGTGTCACTCAGGAAGGAGCAGGAAAGAAACCAAGCTGTTGTCTGGAGGGGGAGATGCTCTGAAGCAGATGTAGTGTGGACACCCATTTAAGGAGTTAGCATTTCTCTGCTCTGTCAGTTCATCCCTCTATACTGCTTCTATAAAGGAAATTATGCATTTAGATTTTAGTGATACTAGTGTGCATTAGTATCTAAATTTTTTAAAAAAGTAGTCTTGCAGCTTAACCATTCTCTGAAGTTGAGAATTAACAATGGTGAAAATGTATTTTCATTTGACCCCAATCTCTCCCTATTTTTTTTCTCTCTCAAATTTTTAAATAAATCTGGGCTTGCTCATCATAAAATAACTTGCTGCAGGAACATATGATCATGTTTATTGACTCTAGGGATCTCTAGAAAAGTCGTTTGAACTTTCAAGAGGGACATTTAGCATTTCTTGTAGGTTCTAGAACTATGGGAAAACATAGCCAGAGTACAGGTTAAATTGGTTTTATGCGGTAACTAACCACCAAGAACCTCTTCTGTAACCCAGAGTAAGATTAAGTTGTAGGGCACTCTGCAGGCATCGATGTTTCTGGCATCCTTTAGAGCCTTACTCCAGTTGACTAACTCTCCATCTAACATTATGTCTGTTAAAACTGATAAGCATTCCAATTTTGTTATTTATTAGTGTCAAGTCTTGTAACTATTAAAGTACCACTGTAATTCAAAGCATCAGTGTGAGAATTTCTTGTATAGCAGCATTTAATAGTAAAAGTGGTTTTCAGTCAAAGAATTCATAAACGGTAAGTTTGCTATAACCAAACACTTGTTTTGAACTTTCTTTTTTTTTTGGTTTTTCGAGATAGGGTTTCTCTGCGTGGCCCAGGCTGTCCTGGAACTCACTCTGTAGACCAGGCTGGCCTCAAACTCAGAAATCCGCCTGTCTCTGCCTCCCAAGTGCTGGGATTAAAGGCGTGTGCTACCACCGCCCGGCTGTTTTGAACTTTCAATTAAAGTGTTCTTCTATTTTAAAAATGAAAACTGTATTTTAAATCCCAAACATTAAAAACTGAATGCTGCAGTCTGGTTTTTTCCTTTTTTGACTTTAGGGTCTTCAGAGTAGTTAAGTATTAAGCCAGGTCAGATGGGAAAATAATGCATGTTTGGGTTTCTGCAGAAGCAACCCAGGAAGAGATGTGACAACAGAAGTTAAAGCAATGGTTATTTCCAAAGAGACCTGATGCCTGCTCAGGGTTAATATCTGGTCCAGACTCAGAGCTACAGATGTGAGCATCTGTGTGTGCAGGCAAGGGAGAGGTGGTGTCTCAAGCATGTGTGTGTAGGCAAGAGAGAGATGGTTCTCAAAGGCTGAAGATTCCCATCCCTTCTAGTTCAGCTGGAGGAAATGCTATCCTGTATTTCTAATTCATGAAAAACGGCCCACAGCACTGGAAATTTGGAAGTTTTATTTACTGGACAGGGTTATTTATGGGAACTTTTCTGTAAGACCAAGCAAGACTATGACTTCTCTTTGGTAAATTATGGTTTACATTGGTACAGTTTGACAAGATAAACTAAACACTTTGTTCTAGGACAAAGAAAATGCATTTTCAAAAATCTATGTGAACACTTTATTTTCAAAAGTTTAAGGAAGATCTGTCTACCAGTTATAAAAATGAAAACCAGTTAGAATTCTAGTATGAACATTATTTACATTAACTTATAAAAATAGACTTGAGGTTAGGAAAAGAATGCTGAACAACTAGTAGTCTGTACTTCCTTTTGTCAGGCTAATCCTTGTTTTATCAAGGCCAACCCTGGTTTCCTTGGTTAGCAATGTCAGTGTAAGCCTTTTTTTAGCAGGAAAAAAATTAAGGTACCATTGCATTCATCCGTTTCCAACTGAATTCATCTTCATATACACAACAGATAAGGTTAACAGCAAGGTTCTAACTTTTCTGAAGATTCTTGTTGCCACAATTGCCATTATACTACACACTAACTTGCAAATTATAAGTACTAACATTCTTGTTCATTTGAAAATACAAGTATCAAAATGAACTGGTCTAAGGAAAGAACTATAACTGTATGGGCCTTTACTGCACTAATAAATGATGTGACTTATATTAAAAGTTCAAAATCCAGTACATTCATTAAATCAGCTAAACAATGAGGAAAATGAAAAAAGTCCCCACCCTGCACAGGCTGGGATGTAGCTCAATGGAGACACTTCTTCAGCATATTTGAGAAGCCAGGGTTCCATACACAACACCAAAGATTATGTCTTCCTCAAGCTTTCCTATCTAGCGCTTTTTCATGTTTGGACAAGGTTCCCTGGGAGGGAGCAGTATCCCCTTCAGTCCCGTAACATGCTAGCTGCAGATGACAGATGCAGGAGATGAGAAAAGTTAAGGACAATGTGGTGATCTTCACAAAGCTGTATTTATTCCATTAAAAGACTCTCGTGTTCTTAGGGTGTCCTTTATGAAAACAAAATCATGATCACAGTGTTTTGTTCTTTTTTCTCTCAAATAACTTGGCAAAATCAATTGGCAATTCTACCCCAGGAAGGTATTACTAGTCTATGAAATCTGAAAGCTGGGAACCACTACCATGGGAAAGCCTAGTTCTGCGTGCTGTTACAGGTGGGAAGAGGGGAACCCCTTCTGTGGCAAATGTATAGAAAATGACACTCCTGAACTTGACACTCAGACCTGTTCTGAATTAACACAGCTCTTCAGATGATTGCAGAGGAAGCTGGCACTTCATAGTCTGGCCTAAGATGTAGCTGTGGCTAAGGAAATGGTATGATCAGCAACATTATTATTAAACCTTTAATATCAAATACATTTTTGTACATCATAACTAATTATAAAACAAACTCCAAAACTCCATAAAACCAGTAAGGTAAAAGCCCTTACAGAGAATCATATAAACTTTAGGTGTCACCAGACTTGATTTCAGGAAAAGTCATTGTTTTTTTGGATACAAATTATCTATAAAACAGTGTGGTATAAAGGACTCTGAACTGTACAGCACAGAGGCTGTAGCTTGCGATTCTCTGCAAGTTCCGAGTTCTAAAGCTCGTTCCCGTTCACGCTCTTCTGCTGCTGAAGCCTGTTCTTCCTGGAGTACTCCAGCTGCTTTGCTCTGAGCCATCGTTCTCTGGAGAGTGTTGTCTGACCGGCGCTCAGAGACAGAAATCTGATTTAAATAAAAATTACCTAGAGTTAGGATGGTTGGCTTAAAAGCTTTAAGAACTACAAAAGTGTGCTTTTGCTTCTTTTCCTCTTCTCTGTCTCTCTGTGTGTGTGCCCCCTTCTCTCTTTCTCACTCTCCTCTTAAAAAAAAAAAAAAAAAGAACTAGGGAAGCTTTGAGAGCCTATCGGGAGGCAAGAGTATATGGTTGGTGCACATAAAGCAAAGGCCTAGTGTGACCTCACAAGGAAATCCCTGAAGAGCCAGCGTTAAAGGGAGGCTGTCTTAGAGAGCAAGGCTGTCCTACGGCTAAGGTCTTGCTAAGGAACTCTCAATAGGCACTTTCATTGGGTGGGTCTTTTCATGTCTTGTGTTGTTATGGTGGACTATGCCTGACATCAGGAATCTTCCTCAACCACTCCCACTCTCTTACTTCTTCGTTCATGAGCTCAGGCTGGCATGACTAGGCTAGCCAGTTTGCTCTGGGATTCCTTGTGGCCATGGCCACACATACACAGGATCTGAACTTCAATCTTCAGACAAAAGCTTTGGCCATCTGTTCAATCCTAGATGTCTTTAAAAGGAAAAGTTCCTTTGTTTTTATAATTGTGCCTCAGATATTGCCGAGTAAGTCAGAAGTGCACACAGCTACCAGCAACGGGGACTTGATGAGCACACTTACCGAGCCACCACCAGCAGCTGGTGGAGATCATCAGCCGTGATACTCTGAGGGTCATTTTTACGCATTTCCACAAAATCATCTTCAACTGCCTATATCAGAAGAGTAGTACACCTGAAAACGTAGTCCTTCAAAACCTTTCAAGTGCATTTCAAAACAATTTCCTTTTTTAATAGAGAAAAAGAAACATGGTCCCTGACTGAGGCAAAAATACTCGTAGACAAATGGTGGCAACATAGGTAAGTAAAAAGAGGAAATACCGAAACTTAAGTCCCATTACAAAATGCAACACGGAAAAAATTCTACATTCACCTTAGCCCCATCGAGAACACCAAATAAGCACAGAAGCCAGCATCCTCTACAGTGTGATGGTGCATACCCATAATGCTAGCACTGGGGACGCTGAGGGAGAAGGACCGCAAGTTAAAGGCCTGTCTACGTTCAATACAGCAGAGTGCAACGGCTGGATTCAGCTCTGTCAAAACCATGGAGACTTCCAGTAATTTGGGTACCATTTATGCAAGAAAACAGTGGCTCTTGACAAGAGTGTTGAGCCTGTAACATCTGAGCTTGTTTTCACTCTCCACCCCCCTCAGGTGATGTCCTCGAGGCAGGGTTGGAGTTCCTGCATGGCTGCTCTGATCTGCAAGGCTGCCTTTCCAAATCTAACATGGAGCCTATTATAGCTGTTCTACTGTTGTTACCACTAATATCTTGCTATATAAATTGAGCTCCAGGAACAGATGATTTATAGACACACCATTATGTTTCCCTTACATAGAGCATGGTACTAGCTCCAGTTACAAGCACCTCCTGGGGCTCAAGCATGCATCACTCTTGGAAAAGGGGTGACTGCTGTATAAAGAACTAAAGGAGAATATGTGACCAGTGCCGCACCAAACAGAGAACATCAATAAGAAAAATAATATTGAAAAAGAAGCAAACAGGAAATTCTATAAATAAAAAAATAAGGCAATTAACAGCAATAATTGTAGAAAATCTGAGCAGGTGCAAAAATTAGTCAAACTTCAAGATAAGTGAACAAAGCATTTTTAGGTTAAAGCAGAAAGAAAAATAATAGAAAATGACCAAAGTTTCAAAGATCCGCAGCTCACCATCAAACGCACTAATGTAAGTGCAATCAAGGGCAGTGGGAGAGAAAGCAGCAGGAAGGAACTAAAAGAAGACGGGAACCAAACACAATGGCCCCAACCAAAAACAATGGCCCCTAAAAACTTGAAGGCTGCTGTATGTAGTGGGTTGGCTTGTGTCTAAGGCTAACATTGGTTCTTCAGGATCTGATTGCCCTAGAGTTCAAGCACACAGACCCAAGTGATTCTATGTGACCTTGTCCTCAAGTTATTTCTGAATAAAAATGCCTACACCCTATTGGCCAAAAGGGGCATAGGCAGGTCTTAGGGTTCCCGGGCCGGGGGGTTGGTGGAGAACCAGGAAGGAGAGAAGAAGGTGAAGGGAGGAGAAGCCGCCATGGGTTAGTTGAGTCATGAAAACATGGCCCTGAGGGCTGGCCAACTGGAGTTAAGAGCAGCCCAGATGAAACAGGCCATAGAGGGTGGATATGTGCCCAGCTCCTGTGCTGTTTGAGGCTTACTGTAAATATAAGGGTTGTGTGAGTCTTTTATTGGGAGCTAAATGATTAAGGCCAGGTAGAAACCCAGATTGGGATTAAAAATTTCTACAACAGGGTGCTAAACACTTGACCAAAATAATGCACACATTAAGAAGCACAGCAAACTGCAGTAGGACAGACAGACAATAGAAACCTGGACTGCCAATTCCTCTGGGTGTTGGAGGCATGTTCTTTTTTTTTGGGGGGGGGAGGTGAGGGGAG